CGATAACAAAATTGATAAATATCGACAGCAAAATCGGTAATAATATTGGCAGCAAAATCTATTAGAAACTCGATAAAAATATCCATAATAAAATCGATAAAAATATTGATAAAATATCGATAAAAATATCCACAACAAAATCGATAAAAATATCCATAACAAAATCGATAAAAATATCCATAACAAAATCGATTAATATATATATTAGAATCGATAAATATCGACAACAAAATCAATAAATATCGATAACAAAATCGATAAATATCGATAAATATCGATAACAAAGTCGATAGGCGCATGAGCTTGTAGGGAGCAATGTGAAGGCAAAAGGAAGGCGAGATGTGAAAAATTCGTTTAATAAAACCCACTTATGCAGCAAAAGCGCTCGGTTGCAAGTGGTAGGGGACTGCTACTTCTGCCGCTTGACGCTCTTGGTGGCAATAGACTGCGCCTAAGTACGCGTTACAAAATTTATTTCTTCTCTTAAATATTTTTGTGCGGATGCTGATTCCTTTGTTGTTTTATTATTCACACGCACAGTGCATGTTGCTTGCCTGCCTTTTGTATTGTGAGTATTTGATTTTGTTTACTTTTCAACTTTTAACGGAAACAAGTATTTGATAATAGCGGAACTAGGCAAGTCAGAGTTGGTTTAGACTTTCTAGCTGACAATGTCTACGATGGAGGCCGGATATTTTTAAATTGAATTTCTGCGAAATTTGCGCAAACAATGCTAACTTGTATCGGTGTGCAAGGGTCAAAAAAAGAAGGAAAAAATAATAATAGAATACAATACCCCCTGGCAGTTTGCCATTTCAGTACAGCTCTCTTGCTGGCTCTTTGCCAAATCGCCTTTTCATGAGCTTAACTAACGAAATGAGTGGCCGATTGCACTTTGCTGCCTCAGCAAAATACCTGCCTTGCTGCCTTACACATTGGCTACGAAATGAGGCAACTTCTTTTGCAACGCAGTCAGCGACATTGTTCTTTAAGTAGCGGCTGATATGGCACTTCAAAGCGCTGCCAAGTTGAAGAAGCGCAAAATCCACAAAAAAACGAAACTTCTACGACTTGGCCACTCAATGAGTGCAGCATCCTGCTGCTGCTGCAAAGGCACCTCCACTCAAAAAATCGTGAATTTCACTTTATTATTTAGGCTGCTTAATGCGAAATTACCACGCCCTGATCGTGTTGGTGTAGCGTGGCTGTTTAAGTTGCTGCTGCCGCCATCGACAGTTGCCGCACGTCTGTGGCAGCTTAATGCGTCGCCAAGGCTGGGATTTGGCAATGAGCTGGCTTAAGCCAATTAGACTGCAAAGCAGTTGTAGTAAACAAAAGTCGCTTGTTGTATGCAAGCAATGTTGCAAACAAGCACAGCCGCAAACAATGTAGGAAAATATTTGGAAATATTCAAAGAAAAAAAATCTATATTTACTTTGTATGACAAAAATGGTGAAGTTTGGTTGTCCATGGGTTTTGGCATTCCATGTCACTTGTTCTGTTTATGCTGTTTATAAAGGAAACATCCAGCCAGCTGGTGCACAAAATTACCTCGCACTATGTATCAACAAAAATGAAGCAAATTGTACAAAGATTGCAACCAGGTCAGATTTCATGGGCACTTTGCATTTCCAATGAAGAAGAAGAAGCACAGAACCCTAATTAAAGCCTGCTGACACACGCATGATTGGCTCTGGACAACGTGCAATAGCAATAGCAGCAGAAAAAAAAAATGTGACAAGATGATGGCAAGTGAGCCAAAATTATTGGCAATTATTCTTGTTATAACACGGTGACAGTTCAGATTGCAAATAAGTGACTGCTTTTGAAAATGAGACGGGCTAACAGAGAATTATTGAAGGCATTCGGTTTACGAAGGGAGCTGTAAATAACTGCTAGGAATAAACTTATAGGATCCGGATTGAGAAGGAACCAATGAAATGTTAAGTTAGGTTATGGTGATCAGATGGTACCTACACTGGCACCCTGGAGGAAAACCAGCAGGCTTCTGTTATAAACACACTTCCCGGGATATATTCCCCAAGGCACATGTCCTAAAGCTAACACGTTAAACGCCGTGTGTGCAAACAGGAGGGCAAGAGGCCTAGCAGGAAGAATCGTCAGTATAGAAAAGACAGCGTGGGTCATATCAACCTTTAGTGCATTTACCCCTGCCGGTTACAACAGAGCTCGAGCTTAATATCTGGGCCACTAGTCAGATTGCTGAGAGCAAGTCTCTTACTTGGTCACTTACCATCAACATGGAGTGAAGTCAAAGTATTCTTTATACCCAAAGTGGGGGAAAACTCGGCACAACTCCCAAAGGCGCATAGACCAATTAGCCTCAGCTGCTTTCTAGTAAAAACATTATAGCCCCTACTATCGACACTGGAAAAGCTAAATGGCAGTGGAATCAAGGCATATGTATATGCAGATGGCATTGTCATCTACGTTGTCGGCTAGCACGAGTACACTATTTGTTCCAGATTTCAAGCTGCTGTAAGATTAACGGAAGACTTGTATGCTTCAAAGGGGTTGTCAAAAAAACCCACTGAAGCCCACCGTTGTCCCATTTACCAAAAGAAGGAAAGTCAACTTGACTAGACGTACCTTAGCAGGGACAAAAATTGACTTCTGAGAAGAGGCGAAGTATCTACGGGTAACTCTGGGCAAAAGGCTCAATTGGAACTCACATATCCTGATCTTTACCAACAATGCTACAAGGGCGTTCTATGCCTGCCAGAGGCTCCATGGTAAAACTTGGGGAATATCACCCAAACCAAGGTCTTTCACTACGGTGGTAAAACTCGTTGTCATATGTGCGGCACTGACCTGGTGGCCAAAACAGGCGCTATGCGCACCTGTCCATCGGATGCGCTTGGTATGATTACATGCATTTCTCTTCTATCTATTTCGATTGGAAAGGATGTCTGCAGCAGCAACCTGAGGCTGCCTAAAGTAATCAGCTACCTGCAGTAATATCTGCCTGACTATTTTTAACTAAATTTTGAAATACTAGAACAACCTAATTCACGACTTGCCTCACGATTTGAAAGAAAAAATGTATATCAAGTCGACGTCCAAGTTGTAAAAGTGCAAGTGTGTTAGTAAAAAGTGTGAGTGTATTGCAACTTGCTTTCAAGTTCTTGATACGTGTAACCCGTAAGTTAAAAAAGAGTGAGTTTGTGTGCACCCGAGTAGAGAATTATGGCTGAGATTGTTGCAGTACCGCAATAAATTATCTAATCAACAAATTAGCAGCGAGGCAAGCGGTCAGTCTGGTTGGGGCTACACTGAGAAAATGGATTAGTTTCGACAACTAAAGATATTTAGTTCCCGAATTTTGACAATATTTGGGAACTATTACCATCGATTGGTAATTATAACTAAATATATTAAAGCTTCTAATATTCATCTAGGTTGTAACAAATCGTTAATTTAGTTGAAGGGTTTGGTTAATACTAATAAATATTTCTTTGAAGCATATTTCTACAAATTCCATTCAACTTAACGTATGGTTCATAAAAGGATGTTATTAAGCTCTGCTAATGCAGATAAGCTTTCTTTCAACACGTGGTTTAGTCATAGTTACCAAATCTTAGTTGAGGCAACCACGATTTGGTTTGAGAGTGGACCATATTCATGCTTGTGAGCCACCCCTAAAGAATGCTGAGCGCTCTCTGAGCACATACGAAGAGCGCCAGCTGAGCAATGCACACAGTCCCACTTATTGAAACGTTTGAATGCGCTAGTATGCCGACCATTGCATTGTGCGTGGAAATCATTCCTCCGCTACCGCTGTTCGTATATGGGTGAAACACGCATGTGGTCCCAGAGCGCTCAGTAAGCTATGGCATGTCGATCGCTGCGCCATGTGTGCTATGACATGCCCATACTTGTTTGTCACAGTTTCAGTTTTGCTACCAGCGCGGGTTGTTTCGGTGCGCGCATAGTTTAAAGTTTAATTAAAAATATAAAGTTTGATGCCAACCGGAGTTTTTCAGTGGATATATAATTCATGTGAATTATAATTTGAAAGTGTCTATTTAGCTAAGGAAAAAGCAAAGCAGTATACTTCCAGCAGATATTGACCTGGGTTTTCGCACGACTGTTCCTGTTTCATCGTTGTTTTTTAGGAAATTCTTACCACCATATACATATGTATTATTTACTTTAGCAACTAACTTATGTAAATATGTACGTATTTTTATTCTTAATATATGCAAATAAAAGAAGAAAGTAAACACAACAAACATCGAGTAAATTTTTATTTGTGTCAAACTGAACCTTTTTTCCCAATAATAAACGGTTAGCTGATTCAAGTCTACGGCAAGTTCACAAAATTAATTGAAAACTTGTATCAACCAAAGCATTGTTTATATTTGCTCAACAATGATTTTATTCAACTAACAATATTGTCCAATCAAGGTAGTCGTTTTGTAATTATTAACAAATATACATTTGTCCCAACTAGAAGTCTTAAGTAAATTGCAGACTTTCGTGAACTATATATTTATTTCGCCATATCCAACTATGCCACTTGATCACTATAACCAAATCTTGGTTATTATAACTAAACCTTTTTCTGGGTGTACAGGTAAGCTGATCTTGATATCACGCCTTTCATGCCACAACAACAGCAAACACTCACAGTATTCTCGGAGGTATGTGTGTATTGGTGTGCAACGAAAAGTTGTTATCACTCAAGGTGTGCACTTAATGCACATTCAAATAGACATACAAAGTATCTTATAGATACATATATATGCAGATAAATATGCATGCATGCAACCGTGTATAGCTAGCTAGCTGCATATTCAATCATAAGCCAAACGATTCATCATTCAAAATTTGACATTTGACGAAGAGTGCGAGCGGTTAGTTGTTGGCAATGTATGGAAAACAGTTAGCGTCCGTCCAGGATGAAGCACTTTGCCGCTGGTATGAGTCACTCAGTCAGCTTAAAATAGTTACTTTGAATAAAGTAGTCAAGCGCTCACCTTTGTTTAACTTCTTTGCAGGGACTGACTATTCCAACTACGCATAGGAGTAAGGGAGTAAGTAGATTTGGTTGGCACACGCTTCGTGCTCTCTCATATGTAGGCCGCCTTAATTCACTTTCAATGTTTGTTATTTGATAAATCTGCAAAAGGACGAAAACATAAGAACAGATAAGCCAAATTAACTTCATTTGAACAATTGTAGGTAGCAATGCTGGTGATATATTTTATCTAAATGCATTAAAAATATATGGAAGTACATTAAGGTGGTCCAAAAATGCACGTGCAAAATTAAAGTCAAAATTGTAATGCTCTCACCTGAAAGCGTTCAAAGTTTTCTATGTAGCTATTTTATAAGGGGAAAAAATTAATTTTTCATGAAAAATTCATGAAAATAGATATTTTTTGATCGGAAATCTCTGTTTGTCTTCAAAAGACTTTCAATAATAATAACCAATTGTTTCTCACCATTGCATATTTTGGGGTTTTTTGGAGGACCTATCAATAAATAAGAGTTGATATAAAAAAAATTTCTAAATAAATAATTGTGTATTATTATCGGAAGTCTCCTGAAGGAAAACATAGTTTTCCGACCGAAAAATATTGATTTTCATGAATGCTATAAAATTTCCACGAAAAATTGATTTGTTCACATATAAAATGCATAGAAAACTTTGAGCGTTTGAGCGAAATCTAATTATTTTTTGGTTTGAAAATAAAAAACAGGGGTGTATTTTTTCGATACAGAAAAATCCTAGGTGGTTAGAGCTTTAAAATTCCGACTTAACTTTTTTTTTTATCACCCTAATGTACATATGTATGTGTGTAACTGTGTATATGTATGTATTTATGTTAAGTGTTTGTGCACAACGCTTATCACTAGACTTCGAGCATAGCTATTGAAGAAAGTTTAATGTAATGTTATAAATTCTAATTTATTTGACTTTTAAATGCAATCTATTATTCTCAGTTTTTGTTTACATCCATTTAGTATCTTCTGTGTTTTCATTATTTTTGATAGTCCGCTTGCGATTCGCCTCATATTCCACTCCTCTTTTTTGTCTTTCCGTTCGGGTTGCACGATTTGGGTCACCTATTTTCTTGCATCCATAAATCTTAGCTGCCAGTTGCGCATTTGGCATGTTGATAAATTGTTAATTGACATATTTTTAATGGCTATATAGGTAGGTGGCCGGGTGTGTATGTGTGTTAATATGCATTGATGGCTAAATAGTTGCTAGAACTTTTTGGAACCGAGAGTTTTACTGCTTTGTGAGTACTTATTACATTTTTTTCATATCAAATGCCCTTTTGTTGTTCTTAAAAAGTAGTATCATAAATAAGGCACTCTCAATTCTTGATAGAACTTTCGTTGATTCAAGCTAATTTGTATGTCACTAACGTATGTATGTAAATATATCCCAAATAAGTAAAAACAGTCAAACAACGATTTATTTCCAACCCATTATTGTATTTTCAAACAGTTCTTTGGGAGCTACACATTTTACTAATTTATTTATCATAAGCAAATAGGTAAAAAATATTTGCTGGCCTTAATCGCATAGATGGATGAGTTATATCACAGTAAACACAGTCTCTAACGTTAGATAAACGTTTTGAGTTTACATTACAATTCGAATGAGGTTCTCGAATCGAAGGTTAGAGAACTATGTTAGAATTCGATAAGAGAATTATTAAAAAAATACTAGACATTAGAAACCAATTAGAATTCAACGTTAAAATCCGATTAGATTCCTAACCTTCTTCTCGATATCGATAACTAATTCTCCTCTTTGTAGAGAGTGCTAGTTATAGTTCACGACAGTTTCTCTTATCGTCTTTTAACCTTCTACTTCAGAGAAACAAATTCGAACTCGAATCACTTTCTAATCTTTCTCTAATCGAAATATTTGTTGGAATGTCAAAAAGTTATATCTGAAAAGTTAGTTGTATGGGAGATATATTTATAAAGCACCGATTTTAATGATTTTCTCAATTAGCTTGATCTGGCTGGCAATGAGCCGCACATAGACCGGTAGGTACTTAGCGTTGCCAGTTGTTGCTCGCTTTTATGCGTTAAAATAAACATCACAAAGGATGTCAACGCTTTTGGCGAATTTTAGTAGAAATTTCAGCTCTATTCTGAGATGTCCTCTAACTTCTCGAATTGTTAGGCTCCCAAGAATTTTAGTGGTGGTTTTTGGCAGTGCAGAACATCGGCAGAGAAGATGTTCCGAGGTTTCCCTAGTCTCCCGCTCACGACACTTCTTGCACCCGTCCACGCTAGTGATACCCATTTTTTGACATGAACAGCCACCAGGATATGTCCCGTAAGCAATCCGATAATAACTGCAATTTTTTTAAGTTGATTTCACACACACACACACATTCCGTTGGCCCCTTCAAGGTTTCCTGACCTCACTGCGCCACAGGAAGCTTACAAAAAAACCCACAAATTCATTCGAATGACAGTTGAGGAAATTCCCGCGGCAACCCTACAGGCAGTAATGGCTAACCTTTTGCTGGGTTGTCGCACATGCATCATTGAGCGTAGAAGCATTATTTGTTAAATGAATAAATAAAAAATTAATTACAGGCACTATTAACCAACGATTTATATGCAGCTCTTAACCTTGAAATATTAATCAATCACCCTGTATTTTCTTGGCCAAATATGAACTTGCCTAAACTCCGCGCTAGCAATTCTTGGAGCACGCACACTCATAAACACATGGTTAAATGTCGCAATAAACATAAAACAAATCAAAAGTGAAAGCGAAAGCGGCATTTTAAATTGCGGCAAATTGCAATAATTTGTTTGTGGTGTAAAAGTAATAGAAGATGCTGAAGTAAAATGAAATGATACACAAAATTGGCAAGCACTGACAAATATTGATATATCATATGTATATGTGCATATGTACATAAGTGCATGTATATGCACGGAAGCGCCCTCCGTGCGTGCCGAAAATTGCAAAATCAACAAACACTTTTATTTTTTTCACGATAAAAAAATGTTCATTCCTTTATCTCTTTTCTAACCGAAGATCTACGATTTTGAAAAAAAAACTCGTGTTTTGCCTATAGTGCGCCGCCGCTATTTGCTTTATTTTACTTCAGATTTTTCTATTGCTCATCGTCGAATTTTTTATAGTTGTAGTTAGTATGTATGTGTATTAGGGTGGTCCAAACATACATCGGAATACATCAACTTTTTTGATTTTTCCTGCTGCCACCCCAGAACTGAAGAATATTAAAAATAAGGAGACATGTATTTTTTATCTTGAAATCGGTTAATATTTACCGCTGCCGCCGGGGCTTTGAAATTTCTGTACTTTACATGGCGAAAAGAAATTTTTCCGTGAATTGCTATAAAATCGTTAAAAATAAATATTTTTTGATCGAATGAGGCTACTTCCCTTCAGAAGTCTTCAAAAAATAACACTATGATGCTTATTTAACTTAACAAATTTTCTAAGTGTGTTTTAATAACCGATAATCCTAACTGTTATATACAAAAATTTGATTTTTTATAACCACATCACGCTCGAACAGCTCAACGGATGAGTTTATTTTTCTTTCATTCTGCTCGAATATTTCTGTGGATATGTGTTAAAAAATGTTGAAAAACGGGGTTGCCAGATATATGAAAATTTTAATTTTTAAAAGCCGCAGTGAAATAATTAAGTTTCTTCATCAAAACTAACAGCATTCGACGTGTTTTAAAAGCATTTTTGTACGGGGTTGCCAACTTTCTAAAAAATACAACAAATTTAACCTTACTTAATACCACAATATGGGCATCAAATGGAAGGGTTATGCACAGCCAGCAAAGATTTTTGAAATTACATACTTTAGTGCACAAATATTTTTTTTGATAGGGTTGCCATTTATCTGTAATAAAAAAAAATTTTAAATCATGCTACATACGAAAAACTAAAATGAGTGCGATATGTCATGTCAAACTATCGAATGTGCAAAAATGCATATTGCCTCATTTCACATAGCTTACATAATTACGTCATCGTAGCTAACAGATTGGTGGCAACCCTATTTAAAAATATGTTAATCCAAGGCTTATGCGTACACCTTTCGTGCAGTACCCATATTGTGGTATTATATAAGCTTAAATTTTTAATAATCATTGTTATATTTTTTTAGAAAGGTGGCAACTCTTTCAAAGATATTTTTAAATATTTTCAAACGCTTTAAGTTTTGATGACCAAACTTAAATATTTTATTGACCTTTAAATAATTTTAAATTTTAAAATATTTGGCAACCCTATTTTTCAAAATTTTTTACCACAAACCTACAGAAAACAGCCCGAAAGAATTAAACACATCAAGGAGCTGTTCGTGCGTGATGTTGTTATGAAAACATAAAATAACTAATTTTTTTATATAACAGTTAGGATTATCTGTTGTTAAAATACACTTAGTGAATTTGTTAAGTTAAATAAGCATCATAGTGTTGTCTTTTGAAGACTTCTGAAGGGAAGTAGTCTCATTCGAACAAAAATATTCTACGAAAATATTTATCTTCCCCATGTAAAATACATGGGAAACTTCAAAGTCCAGGCGGCACGGATAAATATTAATCGGTTTCAAAATAAAAAAATTCGCGTCTCCTTATTTTTGATATTCTTCACATCTGGAGAGCGGGTGGAGGGAAAAATTTTGGACCACCCTAATGCATATGTACGTATTTTTTGTATGCCAATTTCTTTTGCGTCTGTGACCGCCAGCAGTCGAATGTGTACAGAAGCGTGTGAGGCTTTTTTAAAGCCATTGCACCTTCTCTTCACCCACCACAATTCATACTTATCAATTTCCCCACAGCAGTTATTTGTTCAACCTCACTTCCTATTCCTTAATTTTGTCCTTCCACATTTTCGAATTTTATTTTTTTTTGTTGTTTTCTTACATCAGATACCAAACAAATTTTCTCTGTCATTGTGCGCACATTAGCTGGCATCCACAATCGTATCAACAACAGCAACAATGATGTGATTTGATTTCGACTTTCCCTTTTTTGTGCCATTCGTGTATTTGACACATTTGCCGTTTTTTTTGTCGTCTTCAGTACCACTCCGTTGTCTACCGATATGATTTCCCTTGTCACAGGGGGGGCATCTTTAATAAT